CCAATAATTCAGCCACCGAATTGGGATCTTCCATTCGAACTTATGTGTGATGCCAGCAATCATGCAGTTGGTGCTGTACTTGGGCAAAAAGTTGGAAGAGCTTCACATGTTATTTATTATGCTTCGAGAACACTTGATAGTGCACAAAGCAATTATACCACAACAGAAAAAGAACTTTTAGCTATTGTATTTGCTTTAGAAAAATTCCGTTCATACTTGCTTGGTACTAAAGTGATTGTTTATTCTGACCATGCAGCTCTTAAGTACTTGCTTTCAAAGAAAGAAGCTAAGCCCAGACTCATTCGGTGGATGCTCTTACTACAAGAGTTTAACCTGGAGATACGAGATAAAAAGGGTGCAGAAAATTTAGTTGCTGATCATCTTAGTAGGATAATTACAAGTGAAAAACCTTCGCCATTGCAAGATGATTTTCCTGATGAACATCTTTTTTCTGTTCAAAAGACGATTCCCTGGTATGCTGATATTGTGAATTACTTAGTTACTAGAACATTACCAATTGATTTATCTAAATCTCAAAAAGATAAAATAAAGAGTGATGCTAAATACTATGTTTGGGATGACCCTTATTTGTGGAAGCATTGTTCTGATCAAATAATCCGAAGGTGTGTATCTCAAGAAGAAATTCCTTCCATTTTGAATTTTTGTCATTCATATGCATGTGGAGGACATTTTGGTCCAAAAAGAACTGCTCGTAAAGTGTTGGAATGTGGGTTATTTTGGCCATCCTTATTCCGTGATTGTTATATGTTTTGCAAAACATGTGCGCAATGTCAAAAAACTGGAAATTTGGGTTATAGGGATCAAATGCCACTTACTCCTATACTTGTTTGTGAAATATTTGACGTTTGGGGTATTGATTTTATGGGTCCTTTTCCTTCTTCTTACAATAATGTTTACATTATTCTTGCTGTGGATTATGTGTCAAAGTGGGTTGAGGCTAAGGCTACCCGGACTGATTGTGCTAAAGTTGTTGTTGAGTTCGTTAAATCTAATATTTTTACCAGGTTTGGGATGCCAAGAGCAATAATAAGCGATCGTGGAACTCATTTTTGCAACAGAGTGGTGCAAGCATTGATGAAAAAATATGATGTTACTCACCGTGTTTCTACAGGTTACCATCCACAAAGCAATGGACAGATTGGAGTACACGACTTGATGATGCTTTATGGGCTTATCGAACAGCCTACAAAACTCCAATAGGTATGTCTCCTTATCGTTTGGTATTTGGTAAACCGTGTCATCTTCCTGTTGAGTGGGAACACAAGGCTTATTGGGCTGTTAAGCAATGTAACATGAGGATGAATGAATCTGGTGAGTTGAGAAAGTTGCAGCTGCAAGAGCTTGAAGAAATTCGTAATGATGCATACGAAAGCTCTAGAATTTACAAGGAAAAAACAAAAGCATTTCATGATCAAAAGATTTCTAGGAAAAGTTTTGTTACTGGTCAGAAAGTTTTACTTTATCATTCTATATTGAAACTTTTTCCTGGTAAATTGCGTTCTAGATGGGTAGGACCTTTTGTTATCACTAATGTTTTTCCTCATGGTGCAGTTGAGATACACAGTTTAGAGACCGGGAAAGTTTTTAAAGTTAATGGACATCGTTTAAAACCATTTTATGAAGGTTTTTAGGCATATAATGTTGAAGAAGTTAGTCTGCAGTGCCCAGTTTATGAAGGTTGAAAAGAGATGATCACCAACAAATGACATGCTACTTATGACAAGGGGAGTTTATTCAATTCTTTCCCTTATTTGTTTTGCATTTTTATTAATTTTCCTCTTATCTTTACATTCTATTTAACATTGGGGACAATGTTAAGAATAAGTGTGGGGAGGGGATTTAACTATTATTCATTATTTAATTCTTCCCTTCAAAAAATATAATATAATATTTTTACTAATAAATTTTTCAAAAAATATAGTATTTTTACTAGAATTCATAACATAATTGAATAATTGGTCTTGCATATTATAACTATTTAGTTTAGTATTTTGTTTGATATGGTGGTGGCTAAACTAAGCTAGCATGAACCTGTGAGATTTTGAGCCTTTGACTGACACTTCAGTCCAATTATTTTGTTCTTGTGTGATATCTTCCATAGATTTGTATCTCTAGAACTTGCCTTGATTCTCTTTAAAGCTAATTTGATGCATGTATGATTTTAATATGATTAAGGCCATCTTTGATTTTTAGCCTGATCACTAGCCAAATAACCCATTCATACCATGATTGATTTATCCTTTGTTAGCCACTTTGAGCCTTTTTAACCGTGTTTTTTTTTGCTATGGAACCACATTATAAGCCTCATACCTGGAATTGATTTCCTTAACCTTGCCTAAAGGACTAGGGGAGCTTTGATTGGGTAAATGCATAAAGAGTGAGTGTGGGGAAAGATGTTTGGCGAAATGTCTATTAGTGAAAATGATGACTTTGTCATTTTATGAGCTTTTTGGTTGGTATTTTTGAAAAGAAGAAAAAAAAGAGGAAAAAAATAGTAGAATAAAGAAATTGAAGAGTGCATGGGTGATGAAGAAGGTATATATAATGATTCTTCAATGAAAAAAGAATCAAAAGAAAAAAAATGATGAAAAAAAAGAAAAAATACGAAAAGAAAGAAGAAAGAAAAAAAAGGGAGAAAAAGTGACAGTACCCAGAAGAGAAAAAGGAAAGAAAAGAATTATTATTATTTTGTTATTATTATTATTTTTCATGTTGAATAGAGTGTGACTTATCTATGATTTTATGGGGATGTGGTTTTTATCAAAATAACAAGAGAGATTTGGTTTAATTGAGCTTTATTTTGGTTATGTTCATTCAATCTTTGCTCCTCTAAGTTTTTAAGGTTTTTTGAACTACTTTCCAAAATAATTCCTACCCTTTACCCTAGCCCCATTACAACCATGAAGAAGTCCTTATGATTTGATCATGCATGTTATCTTGTAGTGGAGAATGAGAAGATATGCAAGCCTATGGTAGAGCTTTTCTATAGGAATTGATTTGAGTGAAATTTATTTACACCCTTCAAACACTTGTGCGTTATGAGTGATATTCCCGTGAGGGCTTGGTTATTTAGTTCACTCTATTTTCAAATAAATTGCTAGCTAGTTATTTATAATGTGTTTGAGACCAATGTTCATGAAGTGTTATGAGTTTATATATTTATATTTTTCTTAAATAATGTTTTTGCTTGAGGACAAGCAAATGATTAGTGTGGGGAATTTTGATAAGTACAATTTATATCTTTAATTTAGATTAGTTTTTATAATAAATTACTTTTATTTATTTAGTATTTTATTTATTTTGAACTTTATTTTATCTTTTGCACTTATATAATAATTAGTTGAATAATTAGGCTTAATGAACAAGTTAATAAGAGTTGGGCTAGTTGGATTAAAATGGGCTCTATACTTTTCTAATTTAGCTTGACCCAACCAAAGTTTATTTATTTATTTAATTGTTTAGCCCAAGATCAAATTAAACAATCCCTTTTTTATGTTTTTTCCTTTGCAGCTCTGTACGTGAGATGTTCGTAGGGATGCAGCAGAAGATTGAAATCAAGACAGCGACTCCATCGGTGAGGCTCGTTGACGACTTTGTTGGCGATTCGCAAGCTGTGGCTTCCTCAACTGTTGCAATGAATTCCGTCCTCAAACTACTGCGCCAAGTGTGAGAACTCCGTTCGCGAATTGCTGCGATGAAGGATTCCGTGGACGAACTTCAGCCATGAATTCCTACACCTGATGAAATTAGATTGAGGCAAGGAGTAATTGGAGCTTACTTTGTTAAATTTCTCTGGTTAGGAAAATAAATATTATTTATTTTCTAGATTTTATGTGGGTTAAGATATGAATTTAATTTGTGGATGTTAGGGAAATTAGGGTTATTTTTGAGTTGATTAGGGAGCCTGAACTAGTATAAATAGGGCTGAATTTTTCAGTAAAGGAGAATCAGTTTTTGAGTCAGTTTTCTCAGAACAATTTTATTTACTTTGTAAACACTCCCTGCAATGTACTGCTGAGTACGAATTTTCCAATTCAAGGATTATTGAAGTTTGATTCTACAAGACCAGTGAGATTTATTTAGCTTAATTTTATTCTTTGCACTTTATTATTTATATATCTCCTGTTATATGAGTTTAGATTATTGCTTGATTAATTGTTGCAAAGGGCCCATTGTTCAATTGTCAAGGAATTATATTGCTAATTAGAACTTTGAATCCGTAATTGTTTAAGTGTTCTAAAGCTAGTAGCAAATAACATAGTTGATTATAAATTAGATTTTCAATCTTATGTTATGAAGATATATAGTCTAGTTTAAATGAACCATGCTTTTGAGTTTGTTGGCTAGAATTGGTAATCTTTCTAATTCTTTTAATGCTGTTAGTAAATTAGATCCTAAGAGCTTGTTTAGGATTGTTTATTAGCTAGGGAAGTGATCAAAGAGCTTGTTTTGATTATCGACAAAGTAAGGAAAGATAGGTTATTAGAGCTTGTTAATAACCATAACCAATTTGGTAAAGCGTTAAGTAATTATTTCTTGGAAATCGATGATCTTTCTTGTTAGAATTGAATTGATATTATTCCTTGAGTTGGATACTAGTTGATATTGATTATTTAATATTTAATATTTTGTATTGTTTTCCTTTTTATTGTTGCTATTTAATTTACAATTCCCATCTCATTCTTCATTGAATATTTGATTAAAAATAAGTCTGACCAATCTTTGTGGGTACGACCTTACTCATCACTATTGCAAATTATAGAGTAAGTAATTTATTATTTGTTGGTTTCGACACCCATCATGATCCCTGAGCATTTTCTAGATATCTAAGTCATCATTGATTAACTTTCTGAAGGTTCGGACGGGATTGGATCGAGCCAATTCTGCATATTTGTGTGGCAAGTTGTAGGACATGTAGTTGTTGTAGACTTCAAGAGCTTGATGACTTCAAGAGTTAGCGCCCTGACATAATTTATGATCTAGAGTTGATAATCAGCCATCGTGAACATTTTATCATGGACCGTGTCAATCTTCATGCACAAAAGATCAACTCTCTCTTTGAGAACAAAGTGTGAAGCTTTGATAGAATGTTGCTCTTTGATAATATTTTCCAGCAACTGTTTTTGCTGACTTAGTCTAGGACTTTCTTGACTTGTTTGTACAGTGGACAACTTTTCCATAACATGAGCCACGTTTGCGGATAGGTCATTGAGCATCTGATTGTTATGCTTTCGGGTTTCTTTGAGCCATTTGCAGCGCACCCTATGCTCTTCGTCCATCTTTCTTAGGAGTGATAATATGGTATCTACTTCAGATTGTGTTAGCTCAATTGGTCCTACGACTTGAACACCTTTCTCCTTTCGTTCAGAGTCATCATGTTTTGGACTTAGTGACGCATTCGTGTTGCTATCACTAGCGGATTTCAAACTCAAGTTGTTCTTTTCATTTGAAGGATTGCCATGCTCGCTATGTGAAGTTTCGTGCTGATCAGCATGTGGCTCAGAGTCTTCTTCAGATTCCATGGTGGTGGCGTGGGCAACAACTATGCCGCCATTAGCCGGATCATCTTTGTCATCATCATCGTCATCTCCATCATCATCCTCTTGTTCATCTTTGTCTTCTTCATTTTTACTATCTTTGTCGTCTTTCATGTGATCTTCATCATCATCTTTTTCTTCCTCAGCAATAGGTTCAACACTTAGCCCATCTTTCTTCGTCTTGCTTGAGCTACATTCGAGATCATTTTGATGCATCTTTTCGAGCTCAGTCTTCATTTAGATAGTCACATTGCTGCTCTAAGCTCCTTCATTTCAACTTCAAACACCAGATCAAGTGGTGGCTTCTGGATGTCGAAATTGATCGGGGCTTTACCTTTAGCAATACTTCGTTTCGGCAATTTGTACGAGTAAACCCGATTGATGGTTTCGATTCATGTAGCATCATAAACATTTTGAGTGCGAAGCCACTCAAGAGCAAACTTCTCTTCACTCCTCGTGGTATCAAATCTCTCTAGAAATAAGTCGAGAGATGAAGTTCGCCATTGTTGCCATTCCATCACTAGTTGAAATTCATTTGAGATAGTCTGTTGAAGCACATGATCTTGTGAAGGTGGAGATTTTCACTCTGCTTGTTTACCATTTCTCTAGTCTCTTCTGGCTAGCCAGGTTCTTGTGGGAAACTTAAGTGATCATTAGAAGGAGGTGGCAACCTTTCGTCCTTGTCTACTTCAATAGGTTCTTGTGTTAGAGTCATTTCGACCTGCTCTGCTGCAGTAGGTTCTTGTGTAAGGATTGTTTCGGCCTTCTTTGCCTTAGCAGATGTAAGATGTATCTTGGCTGTCATACTAAGGCAAGTGCTTGTTTAAGAACCGAGGGTTGTTTGTCTTCTGGTGGGCAACTTGTGTTTTCTTCCACCTGAGCAGCATGATCGGGAGAGTTTGTCCATGTACCTAAGCTAGACTCTTCAGGTGTAGCATGGCTTGGAACAATTTTGGATTGTTCAACTGGCGCTTCCTTCTGAACGGTCCTTAATCTTTCTTCTGTTTGTTTTGCTCGACTGACTTCCTGTAACACCCCAGATTTTCAGGATATTTAAAACTTATGAAACAAAGGTGAAATCTTATTAAATCCCAAAAACAGAATACAAGAGTACGGGGTGCTATACCACACCTGAGTTAGAGAACTCAGGTGCACAGGCTAACTAACTAATGCCTCAATAATGTAAATGTGTGAACATGGCACGCAGGCCGAAGGGGGAAACTAACTAGTTCTATGTTCCAAGTTCTAGCGCGCTCCAGTGACTTACTCTTCTGTGCCTGAAAGCCAAATATATCTGTTCAGCGAGAGATGCTGGTAACCCACTCCAACGTGTTGAAATACATTACATATAGAGATATATATAGATATATGAAAACCATTTTGAAGCATGAAGATATATCCTACGAGACTCTAGCTTTTAAAACCGGGAATGACTCGATAGATAAGGTTAGACACAAGCAACAGTTATAACAGGCGTATACAATCCTTAACAGGCAAGACAGATAAAGCTGAGCACAATTAATAATCATAACCCGATGTAAACAATCCCCAGCATAAATCCCATAGTCTCATCCCCCCGATATACTCATAAACACGACTCATCCATGTTCATCACATAGCACACTTTGTTGGCGCCACAGGACCAATCGCATGCCCATACATGAGGGTCAGCGCATATAGCTCTGACACGGCCCCGCAGCACCCTGCCCCGTCTCACATTACGGAGGAGCCGATCGCAACCGACTGATGGACCTTTGTCCTACATTATATTTATATACATGACCGGTCTTTACCAGCCTGGTTAACAGTTGGGATGGTTCTCAGCCCATTCAACTGCCCGTATAGTGGACCTTTGTCCTATATAATATTTATATACCTGACCGGTCTTTACCAGCCTGGTTAACAGCCGGTATGGTTCTCAGCCCATCCGACTGCCCGTATAGTGGAACTTAGACCTATATAATATTTATATACCTGACTGGTCTTTACCAGCCTGGTTAACAGCCGGTATGGTTCTCAGCCCATCCGATTGCCCGTATAGCCCGATTGATCTCAACCACATTGGGGTGACATGCACACATAACACATAGCAAGCACATGCAACCCATATTGATACATTGGGAAGGGTGAAAACGTATAACGAAACCTATGCGTGGTCATCCACAACTAAGAATACTCCTACGGGGTTCATACTTCTTATACCTAGGTCAACGGGATACCAGTCCAACTAGCAGGCAATATATAAGACTCATACAACCTACGAACGGTATCCGAAATATCAAACTAGACATAGGCACGATAGACGGAGCCCGTTGGGACACCACGTGGGTCGGGGGAACATCAAACGGGGAAGCCGAAACCCCGGGTTGGGGTATTTTCCAGCGCGTAGCCGGTGGGTGGGGGTCCACCCGCCGACGTGCACTGTTCCGGGCAGCGGGTGCCCGGCGGGCAGCTGCCCGCTGCCGGGACTGCCCGACTTGGCCGCGGGTAGGTGGCGGGTCCCCTACCCCCACCTACCCCCACTGACTCTTTTCATCACAAAAACGCCCCGGGAACCATTGTGGAACCCGAAACCATGGTTAGACACTTTACAACGCAATTAACGATCAACACGTAGTCAATTAACGGATCAAATGCGAGAAACGTACGTCACATAACCTATCATGCTTTTCTAACATAATCCACACCCCAAACATGCGATTTCCCACCCGATACACCAAGAATGATATCATACGATACAACCTAGGGTTCTAATCACTTTTATGCCCACAAGAATACGATTCGTCCTCCAATTACAAGATTCGGTGCAAATAACACATAAGCATTAAGAATGCCATACAATTATCAAGAATGAAATATAAACATCAAGAACTCCACATAATCATCAAGAACATCATAATTATCAAGAATCTCCCAATATCAAGATCACCCATTGAATTATCCCATCAATCATCAATAATAATATCGCAAATCATCAATACACAATAATATGGGGAAATCCTACGGGGGAACTCATAGCTATGAAAATAGGTTTTGTTGAGACATGGGTTACCTCTTAGCCTTAATTAATTCCTTGGCTATGAAGGGTCTTTCTTTAAGCTTTCTTGCTTTCTTGATTTCTTCTAGGGGGATTCTTGGAGCTCTTTGGGGTGTTGGGCGTTATTCTTGTGGTGGGGGGTTTCTAGGTGCCCCTTAAGTCCCCTATTTATATATTTACGTGTCCTAGTTAGGAACTAATATTATGGGCTTGCTAGTTCTATTTCTTTTGGGACTAAGGATTGGCTTTAGGGATAAGGGCCCGTGGACTATGGTGGGCCTTCCTAATTAATTATTGTGATTTAATTCTTTCTTTTGGGTAATTGATTAAGTGATTTAATTGATCTTAGGGGTCGTAACACGGGGTGTTACACTCTCCCCCCCTTATCGGGAAGCTTCGTCCCCGAAGCTTGGTCCTTGCCGAGTGACTTTCTCTTAGTTACCTGGTGTGAAAAGTTCGGGGTAGCGTTCCCTCATTGTGTGTTTGAGCTCCCATGTTGCTTCCTCGGTCCCATGGTTGGTCCAGAGGACTTTCACCATTTCTATGGCTCGGCGACCGGTGTTTCTTGTCTTGGTGTCCAGGATCCTCACGGGTCTTTCTTCGTATACTAGTGACTCGTCGAGGTTCACGACCTTGGGTTGAAGCACGTGGCTCGGGTCGTGTACGTATTTCTTTAGCTGGGATATGTGGGATACTTTGTGTACTCGTTCTAGTTCGACGGGTAGGGCGAGGCGATAGGCTAGGTTCCCAACTTTTTCTATGATTTCATAGGGGCCGATAAATCGAGGGCTGAGCTTTCCCTTCCTTCCGAATCTCATCACCCCTCGTGTGGGCGAGATTCTCAACCAGACCTTGTCCCCGGTGTTGAACTCGGCTTGTTTCCTCTTTAGGTCGGCATAGGACTTTTGGCGGTCCTGGGCAGCCTTCATCCTCTCCCGGATGTGCTTGACCTTGGTGATTGTATCCTGTAGGTGTTGGGGCCCTAGTGTTATTGGGTCGACCATGTCTTCCCGACATAAGGGGGTTCTGCATTTTTGTCCGTATAGAGCTTCGTATGGTGTCATACGAATGCTCGCGTGGTAGCTATTGTTGTATGAGAATTCAATAAGGTCTAGGTGTTCCTCCCATGTCCCTTGAAAGTCCAACACGCAGGCCCTTAGCATGTTTTCGAGAGTCTGAATGGTCCTCTCGGTTTGGCCGTCCGTGGTGGGGTGGAAAACAGTGCTTAGTTTTAGTTGTGTCCCCAAGGCTAATTGTAGTGATTTCCAGAATTGTGAGAGGAACCTGGAGTCTCTATCGGATACGATGTTTCGGGGGACTCCGTGATACTTCACTACTCGGCTCAAGTAGGCTTGGGCTAGTTGTGTCATTGTCCACGTTTCCTTCATGGCGATGAATCGCGCTGTTTTGGTTAGTCGGTTCACTATGACCCAAATCTTATCCTTGCCGGTCTTCGTTGGGGGTAGTCCTTCGACGAAATCCATGGATATGGAATCCCACTTTCCTTGTGGTATTTCAAGGGGTTGTACGACTCCCTTGGGCTTGCATCGTTCGGCCTTCACCCTTTGGCAATTCAGACACCTGGCCACGAAATCCGCGATTTCCTTTTTCATGTTGGGCCACCAGAACGACCTTTTTACATCTTGGTATAGCTTGTCACCCCCTGGGTGAACCGAGTATGGGGAGTTGTGTCCTTCCTCCAAGATTTGTTGCTTCAAATGGGGGTGCGTTGAGGGCACGCACCACCTACCTTGGTAACGGAGACTGCCGTCTTCGTGTATTTTGAAGGGTCCTTCCTTCCCCTGGGTTAGGTCGAGGCGGATTTTATCTAGTTCCGGATCCTGCTGTTGCCCTATTTTGATTTCCTCGAAGAGCGTAGGTACGACTCGTGTGTTGAATAAGTGGATGTCGGGGTGGTTTTGACCTTGTTTTATTATTTCCAAATTCAGTCTTTGGAAGTCCCTGTACAGTTGGTCCGGTAGGATCCAAGTGGTGTTGAGGGAGTGGTTAGTCTTCCTGCTTAGGGCATCCGCCACCACGTTAGCTTTTCCCTCATGGTATTGGATGTCCAGGTCGTAATCCTTTATGAGTTCTAACCACCTCCGTTGTCTCATGTTTAGGTCTTTTTGGGTGAAGATGTACTTTAGGCTCTTATGGTCCGTGTAAATCTTGCATTGCACCCCGTATAAGTAATGCCTCC